TGTTGTGAGAACTTTGTTTTCGTAATTCAAATTACTATGCTAGACTGTTTCTTTTGCTTGTACTGTATACTGCCTTGCGTGTTGAGTGCTTGGTCCTGGCATTGGGTGCTTGATAGGCGGTGGCAGTGTTTGGGTCATGGTGTTTTCTGATGAATTGTTGGTCTTGTTTGTTTATGTTTTTCTGTGTTTGAGGTGCCTCAACTCTGCTGGGGCGGCTCGAGAGTTTTGTGGTGTTTTCTTGGATTAATGAAAGTTGTTTGGATATGAAGTTGAACTTTATTATGATTTTTGTTATACAGGTGCATGCTTTCTATATATTAGCTTTAGCTGGACCCTTGAGATTATTGTTGGCTTGCAAGTGTTCTTTTTTACAGTATAATATAATTCCGTGGGATAATAAGTTCCTCAACTTGGAGCAAATCTTTGTCTTGTGGTTGTGGAATAACAAAATTTCAGCTTGAAAATGAATAACTCAAATTCAGGTTTCTCTTTTGTACTGTCATATTTGTTCCTATTTGAGTGTATCATCTCAAAATTATTCAAGTTTATCCTTTGTACCATGATATTTCCTATTTGAGTGTATCATCTCAACCTATGCAACCCCCCATCGTTTGCGTTACATTCTAATCATAGTCTAATATCTTATGGAATTCTTGGAGGATTAAGATTAACACAAGGGAAGTGAGGAAGATTAAGTAACAAAAGTGTGGAGAGAGTGCTTCGTCTAATAGCAGCACAAACATAAGCGAAAAGAAGCAGTTTCCTCTACGTTTGCTCGAAGCTGAGGTGGATTTTAGTCGCCCTCAACATGGTATTCAACCCCCTGTTATACTGATTCGGTAAGTGGCCTAGAGGCCACAAAGGAAAGAGATGTGGACCAAGTCACTCTAATAGGATATGGATTAACCACAGTGAGAAGTCTGAACCTGGGAGTTTATATTGGTAATCCCTAGGATATGATCGGACAATAGCGTAGAACACAATAGAGCTTGCGCTTCTTTGATTCGATAGTCGGAACTCTTTGCCTCTTACGTTAGGTCTTTTTATTTATTTACTTTAGGTTAGGTCTTTGTAAACAGTAGGTTAGGTCTAACTCAAAGAAATTATAAACAAGCATCAATATGACTGAAAATGCAAGAAGAAATCGGAGGAACCTTTGAACCTCCACTCTGGCATCACCTCAGCAATACATTTTTTTATGTAAATATCTAAAAGAATTTATGTAGTCACATGAAGTTTGAAACTTCATAGCTTTACTTCGCTTCCGGAAATTCTTAGTAATTTGGATTCTGGAAGAGCTATGAGGCGTGTGGGGAGTAAGTATTTGCGTAATGCATGTAATTAAACTAGACTCCTACTCCTTTGCAGAACTTCTTCTGGTCCTTGTCATATTATGATCATTAGTGTAAGAATCTCAATAATCATCTTTATGCTCGACTTTCTTAACTCGTCGTTCCTCCACAATTGCTACAACGTTGAGAGTTAAACTGGAAAGTAGTTTTCTGCACTCATCATCTGAAAGTAACTCTTTTGCATCTCCATCCCATATCATTTTTTTTACAAAATTGATTAACCGAGTAGGATTTGATCTATAATACACGAAATGAAAAACACAAACAAGATTAATCATCTTCGAGAACTCAGACACAATTATATTCATGTACGTTGTCTATACTAACTTAGCAAAGAAGAAAAAGAACAACCTTATATTCATGTACGTTGTCTATACTAACTTAGCAAAGAAGAAAAAGAACAACCGTGTATGGGTATTCAAAACAAAAACTTCTGGTCCTTGTCATATTATGACCATTATGGATCTCGAAACAAAATTTTGTTCATGAATGTTGTATAAACTTGTGTCTATTTTAACAGTACATCTCTGACAAAAAGGGCCAGCACAGAAA